GCATAACCCCACAGAATACCAGAGCGTTGACAGTCGATGTGTGGGGAATCCTGCCCTCCTCGACTTGTGTGTGTGCAATAAAAAATTAATTTCAAATAAAGACCGGAGCAGGAACACCGAATTGTAGCAATCAATTCTCAATAATTGGGAGAAGAGTAAGTGGGGAAAAAAGAATGGAAATTAAGATTTGAACAGAATTATCAAGATGTTGCATCATTTAGGACAAAAGTACCACACCAGAGAAATGACTGAGCTGGCAAAGTTTTTACAGTTTGGCTATTTGGGGGAGAGAGTGGGAAGGGGAGGGGGTGGGGGGAGAGAGGAACACATTTTAATGGACATTAGCAGTGATATTTACATAGAAACTGACACATTTATAAATTCACCATGTTACACTCCCCGGCTGTCACTCAAACAACCGGTCCTGTTACTTCCTGGTTTGGTTAGCTTGGTGGCGCTTAACTCAAGAGGCAGCAATTGCCCAGAGCAGCTGCCTTACAAAGACTTCTCACTGAGTTGCATTAGGAAATCTGTGATTGGACAGCCACATAAATTCTGAGCAGGGTTAGAAGGGGAGGGCTGGCAAAGGCTGCAGACAAAAGATCTGCAGCTTTTAAAAGCTGTTATAGATGTAACTCCAATGAAAAAAATACATAATTAAAATGCAAAACTGTTTTCATTATTAGGTGTATCTCTACTAATTGTTAAAACACTTAAATAGCACTTTTTCCATTGGAGTGTCCCTGTAATGTTTGTAATTTCCTCAACTGTCTACAGTTTCCAGTAGGGATTGGGAAGAATATACCTCTGTGCATTCTAACTGTCACAAGGCTTTACTTAAAAAATATATAAGGATATTCACTAAACAGTGAACTGTGGTCTGTTAAATATTATAAAAATGAATCTAACTTTTGTAAGTCAGTGTTTAATTCACTGTTTAGTAAATAAACCTACAGAAAATGGAGAAGAATAGAGGCTGACTGTCTCTTTAAATTAATGGTTGCAGTTAAAGAAATCTGTTCAGATTAAAATGAATCTTTGGCAGGTTACAGTTTACTAAAAGCTTTCCTCCCATAGGCAGCAAATATATAATTTATTATAGAAATATAGTCAATGTCAGATTTCTAGATATCACTACAACTATTTTGCTCAGATCCAGCTTCTCCATGGCCACAGCTCTGTTTGTGTTACATTACTCTAACACCCACCACCACTACTACCTGCACACTAGTTTCAATCACACTGTGGTTGCTATGCTGGAGAGCAGGAGAACCAATCGTACGAGGGTTCTCCTGGCCTCCCTGTCTGTCAGTTCTTCAGCACAGCATTCTATGCTGACTCTACACTAAAGAAGTGCTTAAATGGAGTTGGGGGATGCCTATTTTAAATAATTTTTCTCGCAATCTATACATTTGCTTGCTATTCTGTTAACACAATGTATCGATGAAATTTCATTTACTTTTTCATTTAATAAACTTACACTTTAAATGTTTGCCTGTGAATAGAGTTACTACGTTGAGAGACACACATTTTCTCTATTCAGTTGGGAAGAACTGTATGAAGAGGAACTAAAAGTGCAATGTGCCCTTTTTAGGAACAATGATAAGCCAGGATCATCACTACAAGAGAATTGCGTAATCTTAGCTCTGTATGAATCAATCTAAGCATTTGTTAGCAAGAAGTAGTGGACAAAAGATGCTAAGTTCATAATCATGGGACCATTCAGCTAGCCCAATTAACCCTTGTGGTTTCATGCTCCAGTTGTTAAAGTTATACATCATGGGTTAATGGAGCACGTCAATAAGGTCCCATGAGGATGAAATGTGATTTTTGGCCCCCTGCCATAGTGAGCTATTTGGTCAAAACAATGTCAAGATCAGATATCGATCTTTTAATGTGCAAAAAGAGACACAGCGGGAGGGCATTGAGGCAACAGCACTGTACTAAATTTGACCTTTGTTGTCCGTGTTTTTTTTTTAGAAATTGCAAGAAAAATCCTTTATTGGCAAGTTCAGCTCTTAGTAAAGCTGGCTCTGTGGGTGCATTCTGCTACACTTAATATCCGCAGCTCCACAGTGCGTGAACAGCAGAAAGCAGCCAGCACCAAATCCTCTCACCGTCACAGCCAATTTAATGTCAATGCATAAGGAATAAGGCTTATTCAGTAGGGCTCCAAGGCGGCTAATCCTACCACAACCGGAAGACAAATCCCATTTAAATCAATAGGAGTTCTTAAGTTGATCAGTGCCTCTGGTGACATTTATAGCCATCCAGAGATTTTGATTTGTTTTGTGTTTTTTTTTTTTACTAAAATGTCAATTGTCTGGAATTCAAAGTATAATTAAACGGAATTTTACATTTTAGGCCAAAATAGGCAGATTTAACACGTAGATGACTGAGAATGTTTTCAGTTTTGCTATTGGCCAAAAATTGCTAAGACTTCACACTTTAGTGAATACGCTTGAACCAAATTCATGTCGCAATACTTTACAAAATCAAGGTCCGCTGCTCAGCTCTGATACATTATTTTTGGTGATGTTATTCACAGTTTATTAAGATTTACAGTCTGATACAAACATAGATCACAAAAAATGGCAACAGGTCTATAGGCGAAGACTATTTAACAATAGCATAAACATTATCAAGAAATAAAAAACAGTAGTGAACGGAGAAAGAAAGCATTCCTTAGACCTGGCTTCCCCAAACTCCGGCCCTCCAGATGTTGCTGAACTACAACTCCCATGATTCTATGAATGAAATAGATAGGCTGAGAATCATGGGAGCTGTAGTTCAGCAACATCTGGAGCGCCGGAGTTTGGGGGAGCCTGCTTTAGACCATCAGCGGTGGTTTAAAGCACCACCAGTAGGGTGTATGTCCCTATTCTGCATTCTAGCACCAAACACAGCTCTTGGCAAACATGGCCAGTGATGGAAGGTGGCGTGGAGTGGAGTGGAGGTGATGCCCTATGAAAAAATTCAAGGATCCCAGATCTTATTGAAACCCTCCATAGATTACTTGGGACAGGCTATACGTTAGTCCATAGTCTGAACCTAATCTGCAAGTGAATCAGGTAGGTTGTAGCCCCAATGTGAAACATGAATTAAATAGTACATGAAATGTATTTTGTTAACAAACTTTTAGGGCTATCTAGGAACACCGCCTGCCTCCCATGGCACACAGGGTATTGATGAGGAAAATAAATTACAGTGAGTATGAAAACTAGTTTAATTTAACGAAGAACCACAAACACTTTAATACTCCTATGGTGCCAGGAGTGTGGCAACCCAGAATGAAAATTTTAGAACTGTTTAAATGTTTATCTATGGACTACTGGCCCTCTCTCTTGGCCGGGACTGCAGCCTTTTTGAGTGCTTCCTGATGACATGGACAACTGCAATTTCAAAGAGAAAAACAGATATGGGGCTGTGCGTGCCTCTCAAGTGTCCCTCTTTAGGAAGGACAGTCCCTATTTGTTACCCAAATCCATCTGTCGCTCTTTTATATAAGCTCAGTATTCTTGGTGTGTCTAAATTGATATCGATATCCACAGCACTAATACTCATAGTAATGTGTCTTTAATCTAAGTGAGATATATTGTCTATGTTCGACATTACATTTTTGTTGCATAAATAGTCATTAGTAAGTCACCTAAAAGGTCTCCAATCAGAAAGATATGGTCAGGTACCGGCTTGGCAATACGGTCATTTCAAACTGCTAATGTTGGCAGAAATCAAAAACATATATGCTCTGTTGACTATTGTTATCTTAGATTACGGGTCTTTTCATATGAGACCAGGCAATAAGTGGAACAGATGGAATGTGGAAGGTGAGATTGACATGAGGATTCAGGACGGGCCCCACTGCAGATCATCGCATTTGGAAGTCTAATTGGATTCTCTCAGTCCGACGTGGCATGGTGATGAAGATTCTCAGGAACCCTCCCCGTGGAGCACGACTTCTGCGAAGATATAATGACTTTATAAAGCTTTTTTCAGCGCCCGCTCACCACCCATCATGAGACAGCTAAGTAGTCGACACATTAAACAGAGACTTTGATTTTGAACGTCTGCGTGTAGTTCTTTTTGAGATTTTTAATTATTATTTTTATTATTTGTTGATTGTAATAACAAGCTTGCAGATCGAGTACTCGCTACGTATTGCTGTGATGACTAAAATTGAGACTGCAGGTGGTTTTAAATACATTTTTCCACGATGCCCAGCTAGTTTTGCATTATGGGAAATATAGTCCATGGATAGCGTTAATGCTTCATGTGTCTGCAAAGTACATTTCTCATGAGGCACAGACAAGACTTCGTCATGGTAGTGCTGGCCAAATATATAGACAAAATGCTAAAACCCACAATTCCAGCAAAACAGCTGGACCTTACGTTTTGTCCAATTCTGTTTTAAGGGCTGGCTGAGCTTCATATAAAATATAAATCCTACATCTTTGCAGTGGCAAGGTTAGATTTATTGACCTTCCGATTGATTCTGTTATTTTAGTGTGACAGTAAAGACACTATTAGATTGAATGGAAGAACACAGTACACATACCTGGGTGCAAACGTTAACTCTCCCTCTCTAGTCCTATAGATTGTCCTGTGAATATCCCGATGGGACTTGCTCAGAGGTAGACAGTGGTGATTCACATTTAAGGTGGAGTATGTTTTTTTTTTTTTTTTGTTACTGTGAATTGTAACAACTAAATTTCCATTGTCTGGACATATTTTTCATACTTTTTCTACAATAGGACCTTGACACATAAATGAACAGAAGATCACTTACTGGATCGAGAAAGGAGAATAAATGATAAACTAATACTTTAGACTAATTTTGAATAATAACATATAATGATGGTTTTAAATGTTCTCTGTGTGGGTAAGGGTTAGCTGTCTTAGAGTTATGGTTAAAGGCTTGTAATTAATTAAAGAGCAGCAGTTAGAGTTATACTTAAAGGGAAACTACAGGTACCAAAACAACTTTTGTGTTAACTAAGCATATAGATCATGCCTCTGCAGTCTCACTGCTCAATTCTCTGCCATTTAGGAGTTAAATCACTTTGTTGATGCAGCCCTAGTCCCACCTTCCTGCATGTGACTTACACAGCCTTCCTAAACACTTCCTGTAAAGAGTAATCTAATGTTTACACTTCCTTTATTGCAAATTCTGTTAAATTTAGAATTTCTTATCTCCTGCTCTGTTAATAGCTTGCTACACCATACAGGAGCCTCCTGTATGTTATTAACGTTCAATTTACAGAGCAGGAGATAAAAACTTTTAAAGTAAATGACATCTGATTGAAAATTAAACCATTTTGTTTTCATGCAGCCTGTATCAGTCACAGACAGGGGAGGTGTGGCTAGGGCTGTATATATAGAAACATGGCAAGCAAATTTAGAAGTGAGACTGCAGGGGCATGATCTGTACACCAAAACTGCTTCATTAAGCTAAAGTTGTTTTGGTGAGTATAGTGTCCCTTTAAGGTTTAGCATAGGGTTACAAGGGGCTTTGGATTAGGAAGTGCCTGTGCAATATACTGTGGACTGTAACTCCCATCAATCTAATGCTAGGAGATTCATTAATGGCTTTGGAGATTTCTGAGTTTTTTTGACAATCCTGAAACTAAGGGCCTATTTTATTTTATTTAGCTACATATATGGGTAAAGACTGTATATTTGGTGGGCTGGTCTTTCAAAGTATACTGTAAGCATTACAGAGTAAATGAGCAGATACATTGAATACAAACCCTACACTAGCATTCTATACGAGCTTCTAACACAGACATGCAGATACAGTGTGTCATATGATGATCCTGTTTTGAGTGTGTTATTGAGATGCATAGATGGAAGGAGTGGGTCCATGTGGTGGGGTCCTCTCCCATGGGATCTTTAATACTTTGCAGCTAATAAGACATGATGCATTAGTCAGACACAGGAGAGAGGTTCTGTCCTGCAGTAAAGGAAAGGGGTCCCGACTGCTAATGGGGGCAGCTGCAGCTGGCCCAGTGAGCTGGAGAAGCTTTTTAGCGATACTCTAATTTTATTAGTTGGCACATTAACCTCTAATTCCCCAGAGGCCTCCTCCAACACGCCTCCCAAATACAAGAAGAAGAAATAGATTATATTTACTCGTCAGTTTCAGAATTTACAAACCTCAGTCCTACAGACAACTAATTACCTGGTCATCATTAACCTGCTAGGAAATGCACAATGTAAGTTTATAACCCCTTCTCCACCTTGATCCCTTAATACAGAGGATTATGTACTAATCCGCAGAGCTTGACAGGGCACTCAGCGACGTTAGTCATGGTAGTGATAAAGCAAAAATAAAGGGTGAGAAGATAGATTTCTAAACATGTATTCTGGGATTAAAAGAGGAATTGGATATTGGCAGGCAATAGGATATTTTAGTAATGCATATTCAATTTAGTTTTTTATTATATGGTTTCGTTTTATAAAAAGCAAAGATTTTTTTTTAGCACAGATGTCTGTTCATTCCTTACAGAACATTGTTATGAGTGCAGGGAATTATAGGAAATCAATGTTCAGCATATATAAATGTGCTGAGCATTAAAGGGACACTCCAGGCACCCAGACCACTTCTGCCCATTGGAGTGGGTTGGGTGCCAACTCCCACCACCCTTAACCCTGCAAGTGTAATTATTGCAGTTTTTATAAAACTTCTTAGAACACGAAAAGTGTTTTAAATGAGGCTGGACATCCTCATGCTATGTGAGGACCACCAGCATCGCCGAAATCCCCATAGGCAAGCATTGAATAATGCTTTCCTATGGGGAGATCCTAATGCGAGCGTGGCCATTGCCGCGCATGCACATTAGGTTTCCCCTGCCTAATGGAGGGGTTTTAACCCCTTCAGCATCATGGGATGGGGGGAGGGAAGGAGGGGAGCACTGCAGGATCCTGCAGTGCCAGGAAAACGAATATATTGGCGCGCAATAGGAGAGTCCCTTAAAGGGAAGATGGTGACACAAACCGCCATAAATGTAATTATCATTACCTCCATTGCATTTCTCAATCCAGTTAGTGCCTCTGCTGCGTTAACTGGGATAAGTAAAAAAAACATTGAAATATGTCAGTTCCACCTGAAATTGCAATAAAGGAACAGTAAGGAAAGAGGAGGCGTAGAACACGAGGACACTAACTGAATTTACAAGTTGCAAAATGTATTGTATTAAATAGATACTCTAACGTGTAAGCACTGAGCATTGTAGTGGTTATGGTACAAGGAATGGATGTTGAGATAATATACATAACTTGGGAATTTGACTTATTTTTATACAGATTTGTATGGATTTGTATTAGGAGAGGTGCGGGGAGTCTGTATTTGTTAAACTTTGGTAACCATTTGACAAAATCCACCAGGAATGCGCCCAAAGAGACCTTGCACCATAACTACTTATTGGATCTGTTGCAGTAATGGTGCTTGGAATGTCCCTTTAGAATGTTAGATGTCTTGAATAATCTTCCAGCAAGAGTGCTAGAGGCAAAGATTTGGGTAAAAATAGGCAAATTAAGCAAATTATTTGGGATAATTTGTTGACATTTTAAATGTTTCTTTGTTTTAATACTATATCACAGGATGGGCTGCAAAGACTCCACCTGTTGTAGAAGTGCAACTACCATGATGATTTGCCATCATTAACATACATCTGCCATCCCAACACTGATAACATTATACAGTCTGCATTAATCCTGCTGCTACTATCCCAGTGGTATCCCCATGGTCTGAAGGGGGATATTCGATTTATCTTTAAAGAAGCAGACACAGCTGCCTCTCCCGATGGACTGTCCGCCCACCCCCCTCCTTCCCTGGGCCTATATGACAGTCTGAGGAGCAGGGCAGGGATCAGGGAATGAATGGGAGACATAGCAGGGATCAGGGGATGGATGTGAGATATAGCAGGGATCAGGGGATGGATGTGAGATATAGCAGGGATCAGGGGATGGATGTGAGATATAGCATGGATCAGGGGATGCATGGGAGATACAGCAGGGATCAGGGGATGGATGGGAGATACAGCAGGGATCAGGGGATGGATGAGAGATACAGCAGGGATCAGGGGATGGATGTGAGATATAGCATGGATCAGGGGATGGATGTGAGATACAGCAGGGATCAGGGGGTGGATGTGAGATATAGCAGGGATCAGGGGATGGATGGGAGATACAGCAGGGATCAGGGGATGGATGGGAGATATAGCAGGGATCAGGGGATGGATGAGAGATACAGCAGGGATCAGGGGATGGATGAGAGATACAGCAGGGATCAGGGGATGGATGTGAGATACAGCATGGATCAGGGGATGGATGTGAGATACAGCAGGGATCAGGGGGTGGATGTGAGATATAGCAGGGATCAGGGGATGGATGGGAGATATAGCATGGATCAGGGGATGGATGTGAGATATAGCAGGGATCAGGGGATGGATGTGAGATACAGCAGGGATCAAGAGATAGATGAGAAATACAGCAGGGATCAGGGGATAGATGGGAGATATAGCATGCATCAGGGGATGGATGTGACATATAGCAGGGATCAGGGGATGGATGGGAGATATAGCAGGGATCAGGGGATGGATGGGAGATATAGCCAGGATCAGGGGATGGATGGGATATACAGCAGGGATCAGGGGATGGATGGGAGATATAGCAGGGATCAGGGGATGGATGTGAGATACAGCAGGGATCAGGGGATGGATGGGAGATACAGCAGGGATCAGGGGATGGATGGGAGATACAGCAGGGATCAGGGGATGGATGTGAGATATAGCCAGGATCAGGAGATGGATGGGAGATACAGCAGGGATCAGGGGATGGATGTGAGATACAGCTGGGGTCAGGGGATCGATGGGAGATATAGCATGGATCAGTGGAATGGATGAGAGGTATAGCAGGGATCAGGGGATGGATGTGAGATATAGCAGGGATCAGGGGATGGATGGGAGATATAGCATGGATCAGGGGATGGATGGGAGATACAGCAGGGATCAGGGGATGGATGTGAGATATAGCATGGATCAGGGGATGGATGTGAGATACAGCTGGGGTCAGGGGATCGATGGGAGATATAGCATGGATCAGGGGAATGGATGAGAGATACAGCAGGGATCAGGGGATGGATGTGAGATATAACAGGGATCAGGGGATGGATGTGAGATATAGCAGGGATCAGGGGATGGATGTGAGATATAGCAGGGATCAGGGGATGGATGTGAGATATAGCGTGGATCAGGGAATGGATGGGAGATATAACAGGGATCCGGGGATGAATGTGAGATACAGCAGTGATCAGGGGATGGATGTGAGATATAGCAGGGATCAGGGGATGGATGTGAGATACAGCAGGGGTCAGGGGATCGATGGGAGATATAGCA